ATTTCCCTGATGATTAGAGATGTTGAGCACTTTTTCATATGTTTGTTGGCCATCATTCTGTCTTCTTTTGATAAATTTCTGTTCATGTCTTTGCCCACTTTTTAATGGGGTTGTTTGATTTTTTTTTTGTTGATTTTCCTAAGTTCTATATAGATTTTAGTTATCAGCCCTTTATGGATGTGTAGCATGCGAATATTTTCTCCCATTCTGTAGGTTGTCTGTTTGCTCTAATGATGTTTTCCTTGGCTGTGCAGAAGCTTTTTAATTTGATCAGGTCTCATTTATTTATTTTTGTTGTTGCTGTGATTGCCTTTGGGGTCGTCTTCATATATTCTATGCCTAGGCCGATGCCCATATGAGTTTTTCTACCATGTCTCAGAAAACAATAAGAGGGCTATTTGTTATTTCTATCTAGGTTGCGTTACTCATTTCTTTTACCTACCTGGAAGACAATTTGGGTTTTTATCCCTTGTCTGGGCTATTGTTGTATTCTCTAATTTCAGCATAGCCAGAATATAGTACAGATAATGGATCAATATTGGCCTATCATCAAAAGTGCAAGAATGTAATTTCTTCCACTTCCTATTTAAACTCATTTCTTTTAGGTTTTCAATACTTAAGTATCTGAATGAGTAAAGTTTGGGTTTTAAATACTTCTTAAAAGAAATTGATAGGAGGAGGTCAGATTTTAAAATCTCTCCTCTTCTCTTCTGGTGTGTTTGTCACCAAGGAGGGTGCTTTTATGTGACAATAATTTAGGAAACAGACCATGGCTACAGTTTATATTATTCCTTGTTCAAAATTTAGTTATTTCTGTAGTGGAAATAGAGCTGGTTATTTGAGATATATGAAAGGCAGTGATAGTGTATTTTGTGGAGGGTAACCTTGCTTGATAACTATTTTAAAAACAAATTAATACTTCATAGTGATATCCTTCAAAGCGGTGTTTTCCTCACTTGCTATTTTTTCCTTAAAAGCTTTCAAGCCCCTTCTCCTTTTTCATTTCTCTTCCTTTACTTTTTAGTATCATATTTATTTTCTTGAAGAAGTAAATTTCTTCAATCAAAATATATTTAATAACAGTGGGAAGAATCAAAGATAGTATTAATAATAGTTTTTTTTTGTTTTTTTTTTTTTTTGAGACAGAGTCTCTCTCACTCTTTTGCCTAGGCTAGAGTGCCGTGGCGTCATCCTA